ATACATGTTATAATAGTTGACTCCTGACATTCTCTTTCATAACATCCTGTTTGGCTCTTTTCCCAATTTATTATTATATATTTATGAATTTATTTTGCTAGTATTTATCTCCCCTACTAGAATATATCTTCTTGAGGGCAGAAACTATTTTTTTCAGTTACTTAGCAAATTAACTGACACATCATAAGAGCTAAATAAATATTTGTTAAATAAATGTGTAAACTAATAAGCCTCCTCCAATGAAAAAAAATAATGATTCCAATGTGATCATCACTGAAATTACCTGGACCAACACACACATTTATATAGTTCTATATAATATATATATATACTTATGTGTTTGAGACTTATAAATTGGATCCCTACTACATTACCTGAAGAAAGTAATGATCACCAAGTTTCACAACCATGAGTGCGCAAATAGATGACAATGTCAGCCACCCAGAAAGGCTTACCTCTCCAAACTAATTGCTTGGCACAGAGAATGGAGCTGGGAGTTGTACAGAAGTGTAAAGCTGTGTGTCCACTTAAGGAGTAGCAATTGAGCTTTGCTCCATGGTCACAGAGGATCTTAACACAATCCAAGTTGGCCATTTCACAAGCCACATGAAGAGGGGTTTTCCCGTTGGGTCTACAGTTGATTGTAGCGTTGTGGTCCAGGAGCACCAGAAGACATTCCACGTGACCAAATAAGACAGAGAGATGCAAGCCTGTTGCCCAGGAAGACTTTAATTTATAACTAGGCAACCAATAACCTGAACAAGAAAAAGAAAGAAAGTTTAAGTTCTTGGCCTAGGACTTTTCTGTTTTGTGAGAATTTTTACAAAGTCTTTTACTTTGGTCACATTTATAAAACTGGAGGGGGGAGTGATTCAGAAGTTGTAAACTAGTAACCGATGGGTCTGCAAATGTCTAGTTTAGAAGCATACTCGGATACACTTGAGTGGGATAGGCACTCTTGAGTCTCTCTGTTTCCAGTATTTTCCATTACCTCATTCCTTTATTTACTTTATCTTCTGGCCCTTCAAGGCATTTGGGTTTGAGACCTTCATTTATGGGATCGCATTTTATTTTACATGGTGAGTTACATGAGACTCTTACTGTTTTAACTCCCAATCATTGTTTTGAATGATTGTGAAGCTGTTAGTTACAAGATTATATCTTTACAGTTCTTTTGCCCTATAGTTGTTGCTGTTGTTGTCAATCGGAGGTATGAATGTATTCGATGTCTTTAAAAAATTTGTCTTGCCAAGATTTTATTTGCCTGCCTATTGGTTTTTACAATGCCTCTTACTGATAAGAAGAACTTAAGGCAACTCACAAATTTTACACAAGATTTTTTTTTAAATACAAGATTTTTTTAATTATCTAAGGGCAAAGGAAAAAAAAATAATGTAGGTAAAAAAAAAAAAAAGTGGCCAAGGGTTAAGATCTGTACACAAAATATAAACCATGTCCTATACACTAGAACTGCATTGCAAATTTGCCTTTGAACTTCCTAGCAGCCAAAATAAATAGGAAAACATGATGCATTGCACAATTAACTATGCCCACAAGCTATATACCAATTAATTGCTCAGGAGAAGCATAGCTGTTCCTAGAACTGAGATCTTAGATAAATTTTTCCCATTAGTTGTTGGAAATGTTCTCTCTCTCTCCCCTCCCCCCCTCTCTCCCTCACATGTCTCACAAGCCATAACAAACATAACTTCATAAACCTTCTTTCAGTGTCAATACCTAGAGCCATAGCGTTAAGCTCACTATGAGTGGGTAATGGAAAATAGGTTCAGAAAGATAAAATACTGATAGCCAGATGAAGATGTAGAGATAACTCAACAGCTCAGAAGGGACTCTAGGGCTGAAACAACAAAACATATTTTAACGTGGATAAATCAGAAGGTTGCTTTTAAGTTATAAAATTCCACTATACAAGTACAAGGTAAGTGGAAGATGGTTTAATGGTAATTTATTTGAGAAAAGACCTAGGGATTTGAGTTGACAGAATTCTCAAAAGGAGCCAACAGGGGGATGGAGCTGCCAAAAAGCTTAATCCAATCTTAAGCCACGTTAATAAAAGTGCAGGGCCCAAAACAAAAGGGGTAAAAGTTGTATTCGTTACTGATTAGATGAAGTCAGAATAAATCTAGAATATTGGGAATACTTCTGGGCAACAGTGCTGAGCATCTGGAGGGCGCTCGGAGGATAAGGCCCACATTACAAGTGGGCCTGGCGATCAGGTTTTAAAATTCTCTCATTTAAGTGAGAAACATCACACACGTGCTGCTCCTGGGTATTTATCCTACAAGTATCATCACTCACATGTGACATGCTCTTTAAGGGCCACTGTATTGCCCAACTTCCAAGAACATCATCTGCATTGAACTCTGTGAAAAGTATAAAGTTCTCAGGAATTATAATAACCTGGCCTGTGGACAAGAACATGCACCACACTATAGCATTGTTCTTAATGGGTAACGATTGGAAACAATCTCCATCTTCATCAACAGGAGACTGTTTAAAAAAAAATGATGGTGCATCCATGCAATCGAATACTATATAGCCATTATAAAGAGGGCTGTTCTCTGTATACTGATATGGGAAAATCTCAAGATATATTATCAAGCAAGAGAAACAGGCTGACCAATGTACATAATATGCTATCATATGTGAAAATATTTACTGACACCTCAAACAAGAAACTGGTTACAGCAGTGGCCTCTAACAACTAGGCGCTGGGAGACAAGGATATAGATTTACTCGTCCTTGCATGCCTCCTTTGGACTTTTAAATTCAGTACCTTGTGCATGTATAACTATTTGTAAAAATAAGTGAAATTAAAATAAACTATTGTCCCCCTGTTCAGAGGGGGAAAGATAATTTAGTTTCAAGGCCATATTATAGGGTCGTGTACAATGCTGACTAATCCTGAGGGAATGAATGAACCCAACCTGAAGTTTGTTTTTCTGTAGCCCACTGTCCACCCTAGACACACACACACACACACACACACACACACACACACACACACACCTTTTTCATTCCATTCAGAATTCTAAGGCCATTTGACTTTCCGTCCCTCTCAGCTCTCCCCTTATCCACATCGCCTCTTTCAAAAGAAATCCAAAGTTAATTCACACTAAAGTCTAATGAACTGAGGATTTTTTTAAAGTGTGACCCTCTTAGGATTATCTGAATTTATGTAGGAATCTGTATTCAACTAATAGAACTAAGGGCTAAGATACTAATTTGAGATCCCAGACACTGCGAAGAGAAGGTGTTTGTTGATAGGAACTTTTCCCTTGCAGAGACAAATAGTATCACAGACCTCTGGGCTGCAGCATTATCAACCCTGTGCCTGTAATGTGTGTGTGTGTGTGTATGTGTGTGTACAAACAGATAGGCACACACACTACATTTGTGTGTACCCATTTATACGTTTCTATTTAGCTATGTACATTGAATCTCCATTCTGAGCAGAGTTTTCAAGCTCTGTGGTGTGCAACCTGCTTTTGATAATGAATGAATCACATTAACACCAATACTTAATCAGTCATTTTAACGCTCAGATTTCCTCAACGAGCAATTTGCAAAGCCAGTCTCTTCTAACTGTCTTGGAAAGAAGCTGGTTCCAGATCTGGAAACTGGAGTATGTTTTGCCTACTGATTAGCAGCAAAGATTTGGCAGCTCTGTGCACCAACTGATTGGAAACTCGTGCCTGCTTCTGCAATGGGAAGAAAAATGATCTCAGAAAGGAAGCAGTAGAGAGCTGATTAAGAAAACACTATTTTGATGTAAAATCAAAGAAAACACAGAATGTTAGCGCTGGAGGGAAGATTATCCAGTCCAAGCTTTTCATTTTCCAGATGAGAAAACTGCCACTTTTTCAGGCTGCTAGAGCCATAAGTCGCCTGCCTCAGTCCAAGCTAATGGACTCAGGATATCTGCAATGCAGGGTTTCCATCTGTCTTTGTCTTTGTGGAAGCAGAATAGGTTTTAGCGCCAAGCCTGCTTCACAAATCACGAGGAAGGAAAGCAGATCCTGCATTCATCTATAATATGCCACATCTCTGATATGGAAATGCATTTGCTTGTGGATGTTTTCTCTTCTTCCTAAATTCCCAGTAGCACCTAGAGAATCTATCCTGCCCCGTTTATTCCGTGCATCAGTCGTCCTTAGTCTCTCAGTCCCTTGCCTCTGCCTGTTCTTTGGTCATAATCATTAACCAGTAAATCAGCCTCGGAGACAGCCAGGTCCTGGGATTCAGCCCACCCCCACCCAGATGAACTTGTGCCTACAACTCACCTCTCCTAGATGGAAATGTGTGTAGGGGGTTGGCAACAAGACACCTTTGCTGGTGCCCCTAGAAGCTGAATAGAGAAATAGGAAGGGGACAGATTGTCAGATACAGATCACAGCCCACTGAAGTGTATCCTGAAGCCGCGGTGCAGAACTTTTTGGTGGTGGTGTGTATGTGCATCTGTGTGTGTGTGTTGTGTGTGTGTGTGTGTGTGTGTGTGGAGCGGGGGTGGGGGGGGTGGGGGGGCGGATTCTGGATCATTCGATGCCAGGCATAGCAGGGAAGCCTTCTGGAGCGAATGGAGCAGCCCACAGCAAGGAGGCTATGGACAGTCACCCCTTGTGCCCTCACACCTTAAAATGAGGCTGCTGCCACAGGTCGCTTTGTACCAAGTGTGGGAAGGAGCAAGAGTGTCCTTTCCACCTCACCTACCCACTCTGGGGACCAAAACTGCGGTAAAGCCACCCTCAGAAACCACAGTGGGGCAGCACCGATCAACATGATTGTGTTGATACCGAAACACCAAGGCATCAGAACTTGTCCTCTACCATATAACCTCCAACAGGGACAGCTTAGCCGAACTACAGTTAACTCATCAGGCATCTTCATTTTGTACACTCTTCCTTCCGGGGCAGAATTATCCCAGGGCTTCAGGACCTAGAATGTGATTAGTTCTGAGCATTTGTTTTTCAAAGAGCCCCCCTCTGCTCACCTTGGCAGGTGCCAGGCTGCCTTCTGTGTGCTCAGATGGGCACAAAGGCCGGCGCGGGGTGGGGGGGCGGTTGGAATCTGGGAACAAAGCCCCTGAGAGGGGAGTGAAGAAGCCTCTGCCTCCCTAAAACTGTTAGGCACTCACTCTGTCCCCCCACCCAGGTCTGCGGTGCGCCAGATGCGATGGCTCGAAGAGCCCCGCTTGAGCGAGGGCTTTAACTGAGAAGAGACTATGGATCCTCCCCTAGGCAAAAAACCCCACAGAGACTCTCAAACACAGGCCATGCCCACGTAGATTTATAGTATCTGCAGTTACTTTTCACCTTCCCCAAACCATGACACATCATCTGTTTATCTCATTTCCCCTTCATATATCATAGATTATGGGCAGGCAGGGGATTTGGAGAGGGTCTTGACAAAGTCTCCGCTTTACAAATAAGGGTAAGATTAAGTAGCATAAAGCGCTCATGCCTGTCTCACTGGTACGGACAGATCGACTCAAACTCTGGTCTCCCCAAATCTTTAAATGGCCACGGGTGATCTGCTGACTGCCCGCATTGCACTCCCAAACCAACAGCACTTGTAGGCAAAAGTTCTAGAAGGATTTTAGAAATTTTACCCCTACAAAGATATTCAGCCTAATCATGTGTGTGTGTGTGTGTATGTGTGTGTGTGTGTGTATTTAATTAAATCTGAAACCAAAGAGATAGGCCTGAATAGCTGAGTAGAAAGCCCTCCGCTCAGGAAATACGGTAAAGAGAGAAGGGTTAGTGTTTGGGCTATCTTTTGGAAGAAGGGATTGATTCTGCTCCATGTTGGGGGGGATGTACACATCTCTGGTAAACTTTCAGCTAAGCCTGGGCTCTGCAACAGTTATCAGCTATAATGTTGTCTGAGTCCAAAGAACCCCACACACGAGAAGCCTCTGTTATTACAGCCAAAGGTTACACACGCCGCTCGTGGCTGGATTAGCAGACATTTGCTCTGCCTGTGTCCACGTATTTACACAGTCCTGAAGGATTATAGACTAAAGCACAATTCTTGGCTATCTTTTAATAGCTAATATTTTCAGGATAAATCTCAGAGCTCCCCCAGGAGAGGGGGAAAAAAGTCAGCCTGAAATGCAACATTTAAAAGAAAAAAAGTTTGAACATCCAGGAAGGGAAAAGAACCCTTAGGATGGTAATAGGAAAGTAGGAGAGCGAATTTCTGGCATAGAGGAAAATGAGGTGATAAAGAGATTATTCATTAAGAGAGTGCAAATCAGAGCTTTCAAGATATTTGGAAGGCAGTTGTTACTAGTAAAGTACCTGCCAGAAAGTTTTCCAGTGAAATCACTCATTGGTTATTTTAATTAAAAATATGACTACCAACCAAAGAACCTGCGGCTGTGGGCCATAAACGAAGTACTTAAAGTACATTACACTGATTAATAAAAGGACTCTGATTAACCTTGCTGACTAGGGAATTTCATACCCAAGAGAGAAGTATGATATTCTGCCTGTATCATTAATGCGCTAAGACTCATACATCTGAAAGAGAATCGAAATCTGTGGTTGGAAAAGCCTTTGGAAACAGCTTTACAGATGTTCACGTTTCCAGTATAGGAATCACTAGTGAGAACCCATATGAATAGCTTTGGGTTTTCTTACAGATCCTGCGTTCACTCTGGATATTGCACGCTTGGCTCATGGGAAACTTTCTATCATTAATATCCCTTGACTTCGCAACGACTTACTGCGTGTGGCAGTTAAAAAGTTGTTTGCGTATCTAACTTTTCTTCACGCCATTCCCATTTTAAAGCCATCGTCTGGTAGATGGAATTTTGCTTGCTTGTTTTTGCTTTAGAGACACATGTCCCTGCTGTCCTCCAGGGGTTATCCCAAATGCAAGCCGGCATGTTTGTAATGTTTGCTTTCCAAAGTGTGAGACAGGTTTTTTTTTCTTCATTTAATAAAACATGATTTTATCTGAAGATTTGATGATGAGGTCTAACATAACTTTAAAAAATAAAACAAGAGCTCTCTAACTTTAAGAATCATTCTTAGGTGCTGGGGCTAGGCGGGACCCACAGTTTGAACCTGAGCTCTGGAATTCCGCTCTCTGTTGCATGGGCAAGAGAAGCTACTCAGTGGGATGAGGAAACAGAAGTGAATTTCCAGATGCTTTGTTCTGCCTTCCTCACAGAATCCACATTTTACATTTGCTTCCGTGAGTGTGCCAATTAGATGGTAGATTTGGGGGAGTAGTGTTTAGGCCCCAAGTTGATTTCCTTGCCAACAGAGTTCTGAATTGTCTTTCCAAAAATTATGAACTGACTTGTATACTAACTTAGACATACCATATTCAGGGGAAAAAATGAGATCACTTTTTGAAATTCTATGAAAAATGCTATATGTCCTAAAAGAAGTAAAAATGGTTTGAGATTAATTGTCCCCCTGTTGATCTTCTGCAGGACAATGAAATGTTGAATATAGATTACATTATTAATCACACAAGCAAATGTAAAGGTCGCATGGTATCTTTTATAGGTTTTAAACATTGTCGTGCTTAATAAGCCACAAAGTAACTAAAACCTGAAGATTCTCACACTTTAAAAGTAAATAGATAACGTTTCTGTTTCCACATCTGGATGCTGGTTATATAGGTTTGTTTATGTTATGAAAATTAATCATGCTGTACACTTATGATCTGTATACTTTTCTGCGTGGAGCCTTTCAAAGGTGCTTTTAAAAATCAAAAACTGCTGCTTAACAATCCAATAGCATTCAATGTCCTAAAAGTCTGCTATGATTTAATAAAGTCTCACAAAGTTTAATCCAACTGCATACCCTTCAAGGCCACACAGGAAAGGGTGTCATGCCTCAGAATTATTCAGAAAGGAACTAACCCTAACTAACTAATTAACCAGTGTAGCCTGCTCTTTGTGACTTAAGAAATTGATATAACCACTTAGGTCAACTTTGCTTGGCTAGCAACTAGGATTCTATTTATCACTTCCATTCCTGAATGAAATATTAAAGGGATTGATAATTAGGCTGGAAGACATGTGAAAATGTAGGAAAAAAAACTTGAAGAAGCTTTGAAGAAAGATGAGGTTTTAATCTGGGCTTAAGATTGAAGAGATAGATTCTTATACCCACATTAAACAGAGAGTATGTGTATTTCTTGCTGTGCATACCAGCGTGTGCACACACACACATACACACAATTCCTGTGTAGACCCTGAAGATATGACCATAAATCCTGTTATTTCTGTGCATATGTTCACCTGGCATGTATAAGAAATGGAACTCTACTTTTCCTTTCCCAGAGGGTATAATTTGCTGTCTCCCTAATGGAAAGCCACATCCCACAGTCCTAACACTATGAAAACACCCATTAGTGTGAATGAATTTTTAGCTCTATGAGGACCATAGGAATCAGCTCATATTGACAGAAAGGATTAAAACTGCATTTTCTTCTGATTCAGGGGTGCTGACCCCACTGGAAGCAGGAGAAACAGCACCCTTCTTCCCCGGAGCCTGCCCTAAAACTTCCTTTTTCTCACAACCTCAAAACCTCGGGTGATCCACGCAATTTGGCATGTTTAGGAGATGGGAAAAGGCAGTCTTCACAACTCAGTGTTAAATAAATTACACTGACTTGGACCTAAGTTATTTTCATGGGCATACATGTTAAGCTTAAAAGATACCTTAAAAATGTATTTAGCGTTCAGTCTTTCACTGAACAAATCCAGAAGGTTAAAGTAATCTGATTATATGGTATACACTCCTTCCTTCTAACAGAGCCCCATCAACTACTTTTTAAAAAACAAACCTCTTCATTCTCTTCCAGTCAAAGTAGCAATGCCGATTTATGATAAAGCCCTCCAGGAAAAACCATGAACACAGTAACTGCTCTCCTCTATCCTTCCTTCAGAACTAACAACCAGAGTCCAGTAAATTAATGTGGAAATATATACCATTAACATTAGTTTCTGAAAATTCATGGTGCTGATGATTTATATGTGAACGGAAAGTACTTTCAACATGAAGAAAGAATTGCTATCTCCCTCCAAATAATGTACACCAGACCTTATCATCTATTTTGTTTAAACAGAAGTGATGTTGAACATGGTGTTTGTTTGTAGTCTGCTCACCAGATGGCCTCGCTACTCAAGTTCCCCATTAACTAGCTGATTTGGGAAATCAGAATCTGCGTACTTCTAATTTATTTCTGATTTCTTAAGTGTGGGTTCCAGAAAAATCCCTTGATAAAAAAAAAATTCAGTTCTCATTCTTGTTACCCTCGTTCTTCAAAAGGCAGACATTCTGTACTCAGGATATCTACAATTTTGATCTATTATTGTAGTCAAGGAAAAAAAGTTTTTTTTTTTAACTTTTTAGTTTTTCTGGCTTCAGCTTTTTGCCTGAACTAAAAACTCATTAACATGATAAGGACTAGCAAGGTGCATCAAGGCAGAGCCTTACCCGTTCATTAACCCTCCAAATGGGGGCAAAAATTCCCTTTTCCATCCAGATGGATACAGAGATGATATACCTTTATGTGGCTGTGTGAGCAGAGAGTTAGCACCCTGTCCCCAAGGCAGTCACACAGTCTGGATTAGATCTTAGCAGTCTGTTTAGCCATAATCTAAAGATGTTTTCTTTATTCTGTGTCATTTTAGGCAGAAGAAAAGTTAGAAATAAAAGCAAAGTACAATAATAAATCTGATCGTCCAGGATTTCAAATTCCAGACACAAGGATAGAGAAAGAAAAGAAAATACAGAAAGAAAGAAAGAAATACAAATATATACCACCCATGATGCTGTCTAGTTAAAAAGAGAGAAAAGATTAAATGAGAAATATTTTTAAAATACATACTTAAACCGTAAGAGCTACTGGCTTAGAGTGGGTGACCGACACTGTGCATTACAAAAAAAAAAAAAAATCCATTTTCTATCAATGTTATAATCACACCTATAATTTTTTACCTTGTTTATAAGATGCCAAAACCATATTCTCATCTTCAACTTCAAAAACTGTGTCCACATCTATTAGCCTTTGGATTAAAATGGCCTTCAGTTTTCCGAAGTCATTTGACTTTAGAGCCTCAAGGAAATTTCTCTTAACTAACTTGGCCGCTGCAGATTTAGTGATAGGGGTGGCGGCTCCTTCCATCCTTCCTCTCCCTCTGGAAGCTTTGTTGTGATTTATCAGGAGAGCGGCACCAAGCAAACAGGCACATGCTGGAGAGCCCACAAACTGTTGGCTAATTTTATCCCAAAGTTATGCTGATCCGTTCTATTTATATAGGGATCATTTCAAACTTCAAAATATCCTTCTTGGCTGTCACTGCCTTTTCAGGTCTTTTAAACTGGTTCTATACTCACTGATTCATTGAATAATATATCGTGTCAATATCAAGGAAAACCCTTGCAACACATTTCGGAGAGCCAAATGTCAGTATTATTTCTTAAATGATCAAAGCAATAGCGTAAGATTTAAAAGCTCTTAATGCTTTTTTTTTTCTCCCTCGGTAAAAACATCTGGTGCCCAACTGGAGAACCAGCGTCCTGCTCTGATTAACCAATAGCCAAAAATGAAAATTTGTTACAGTTGCTGATACATGTGCCTCTGGAAACCTATAATAATTTTGTAATATAAGCCCACAGAATCAAGCAGAGTTGTACACATTGGAAAACAAACAGAAGGTTTTCAAGTGACCTAGACTTGAAAAATTTCAATGTCGTGAAAGAAAGCAGGGTAGGGTAAGGTGGCAGGACTGTTTCAAGTAAAAAGAGACTAAAGAGACAAAACAGCCAAGTGCAATGAGTGAATGAACTTTATTTAACCCTGTATTTAAAAAACAGAAAAGGCCATATATCGGGGCAATTGTGGAAATATGAATATAGACTAGATATTACTTCATAATACTGAAGTACTGTTAATGTTTCAAGGCATGGTAGAGGGATTATGGTTATGTAGAAACATATCCTTATTCTTAAGTGACGCATTAAGGGGTGAATTGTCATGATGTCTAAAACTTATTTTCAAATAGTTCAGAAATGAAAAACTGAATGTGTATGAATATACACACACGTGGGTGCATGTGTATGTGTGTACATGTGGGAGGGTAAATAGAGACAGAGAAAGAAAGCAAATGTGGCAAAAAGTTGAAAGTTGGCAAATCTAATGAAGGAGCTCTGCGTGTCCATTATATTATTCTTTCAGCTTTTCTATAAGTTTGAAAATTTTCCAAATAAAAAGTTAGAGAAATAATCAAATTTTAAATTTATAAATCATTAAAAATTAGAAAAAATGATGACAGTATTAATTTGAATGCAGTGAAATCACACCTTATATAGTGTTGATAAGAGTCAAAACTGGTGCAAATTTTTCTGCAGAATAATTAGCAACATGAATTTTAAAAAATCTTAAATGATAATAGTATTGGATTCTTGGAATTTACTTAAGGATGTAAACATGGATGCATATCATAGCACAATTTTTTAACTTATTCCATTGATGTGCAACCTAAATACAAGAAAGTGGAAAGTGACAAGTCATAAGTATACAGCTCATTGAATGTTTACAAAGTGAACATCCCCATGGAACCAACCCCAGATCAAGCCACAGCAGTCCAAGTGTGCTTGAAACACTTTTTATGTCTCCTTCCGATTGAAACACTCAACCTGACCCCCAATGACAACCATTATCTTGACTTCTAACACTGTAGATTCAGTTTGCTTGTTTTTTAATGTTTAAATTTTTTGTTAATTTTCTTCAAGCTTTCTAAAATCTTCAAGCTTACATAGTATAAAATACTTGACCCAAAAAGAAGGATGGATAGATGAATGAAAATGTATGTGTGGGTAATTACAGTGTTAATAACAGAAAAAAATTCAGAAGCTATCTCAATGATCAAGAGTAGAAAATTTGGTAAATTATGGCATATCCATATAATGGAAAAACTTTTAGTCATTATGATTTAATTAAGTAGGTATATACTTATTAAAAATATCTATGAGGGGCTCCTGGGTGGCTCAGTAGGTCAAGTGTTTGCCTTTGGCTCAGATCATGATCTCAGAGTCCTGGGATCGGGCGCTACATTGGGCTCTCTGCTCAGGGGGGAATCCACTTCTCCCTCTCCCTCTGTGCTCTCTCACTCTCGCTCTCTGTCAAGTAAATAAATAAAATCTTAAAAAATAATAATAATAATAAAATAAAAATGTCTGTGAACTAGACAATTTATAAAATAGTATGTGAAGTATAAATACCTTTAAAATATCTATGTTCTTATAATGTACAAATATGCATTTGTATATATTATATAATTTGTACTATTATATATACTTACATAATTTGTATATATTTATCTAATATACAAATGTATAAATACAGGTACTATAGGCACACATAGAAAAAAGTCTATAAACATCTATTTCCAAATATCATGAGCTTTTATTTCCCAGTGGTAAGATTACATTTGATTTCTTCTTGATCACTTTCTTATTTTTTGAATTCATCTACAATGAATATACATTACATTCGTGATAAAAAGGTATTTCAGTATATGTATATTTATAACATTAATAAGGATAACTTGTTAACTCAGAATAACTACAGAATTGTAAGTTCCATGAAGTAAGGAACTGAGTTATTCTTATGTCCTCAGTGCTTAGCATGAATGAATAAATGAATAAAGAATTATTTATTGATTATTTACAAGGTCCTTAGCACGGTGCTTGGTGGCAAATAAGATACCACTGTTTCTTTGATATCCACATGGGTAACTCAAGTAGAAATATAGCATTTATTGATATTATTGATATGCTTTGTCCCTTTTTGACAAAACTAAAAGGCAAAAAAAAAAAAAAAAAAAAAGCATTCCTGGTAGAAGAAACAAAGAGATCCAGGAGTTTTGTGTTCTTGGAGGATAATTTTTGCTAGAGAAGTCCATCAAAATGGAATCTACGTAAAATGAAGACCAAATTTCACAAAATGGGGGGAAAGGTCATTTTAAATTCATCTCTAAAAGAAAGGCAAAAATTATCGGGAACATTTTTTCACCTAATATTTAAGAATAGTTAAGTTGAGGGCGCCTGGGTGGCTCAGTTGGTTAAGCGACTGCCTTCGGCTCAGGTCATGATCCTGCAGTCACAGGATCGAGTCCCGCATCAGGCTCCCTGCTCGGTGGGGAGTCTGCTTCTCCCTCTGACCCTGCCCCCTCTCATGTGCTCGCTCTCTCTCATTCTCTCTCTCTCAAATAAATAAGTAAAATCTTTAAAAAAAAAAAAAGAATATTTAAGTTGAGTAATTCATAGGACCACAAAACAAATTGTTAACTATTTTCGGGGTAAGATCATTTTTCTGATCCAATTTCATAACAACATGAAGCAATACCCTTTACCTTTAGAGTGACTTTTGTCAAACTAATATAAAAAAAGATCATGTTTACAAAAGTGTTCAAGAGCTTCATCAGTTTTGCCAAGGGCCTGTCTTTATCGTTTGATATTCCAATGATTTTCAAACCCAGCGGCTGCAATTCCCGCTGAAACTACTTATCAAATCCTTATGTTTTCAACCTCTTCTCATTCAATTATTAACAGAAATAACCCTGCCGAATCCTCATTAGTAAATAGTTTTGTATGTGATTTGGGCTCTCTTACATTTTCATCAACTTCATGAAATCTTACCTCATTTACAAAATTCGCAATTTTACTTTGCGATGGACATCAGGTAATCAGAGTGAGATCTGGACTCCTCAGTTAAGGATACGTTGTCCGATCTGAGTTTGCCACCTTGTGATCTGAGGACCTGAGATAATGGACTATCAATTGATAAGCCCCATAATTCTTAATGGTAATGAAGTTTTAAATCTAACCCTACCTTCCAAATTTTACATTTTTCTGCTTTCAAGAATATGCAATGAGTTGAAGGGAAAGGGAGGCAAATACCAGTGAATATTGAAAAGAAAATACAAGATAATATGTAATTCTCACATCCTGGTTCACAAAGCAATCCATTCCATTACTGGAAAATTAGGGTCAGTATTTTCTTTGTTACATTGAGCCCAAATTGCCTATCCATAATTTTTTTTCATTGGGTCTAATTATGAACATGCAATCATACATTTATTCCATTCTCATCCTTAATGAATTTCTAACATTTGAAAATAGCATACTATCTCTCATCAATCATTTTTTTTCCTTGACTAGTCTCAACTGTTTCTTATCTGGGGTGGTTTTCAGAATTCTCTTGTCCTGCCTGCTCTCTTCTGGATCCTCTCTGGTTTATTGATGAATGCCCGTCTCTTAAATTTGGGGGCCTAAAATGGAACATAATATGCCTAGAGGGAGCTGAAAACTAGGGAGTATGATGGGGACACTGGGGGGCACTCTGCTTTTGTTGATATTGTTTTGTGATTCCTAGGAGGCACTCTGCAAGTCTGCCTCATGTTATAGTTGTAATTTCTTCAACAGATACTTACCGAGCACCTACCATGTGCCAGAAACTTACTCTGAGAACTGGAAATACAGCAGTGAACAAAAACAAAAATCCCTGCCCTATAGGACTTAGCGTTCCTAATGGAGTTAAGTAAAAATGGAAGTCCCCAGACCTTTCCAATCTCCTGTACACCAGAATTGCTCACAAAGCTGCAAATTCACTAAATTTCACAGAGAAACAATGTAGTTTGTTTATATTCGATTAATTGACTGGATCCTCCCTTTATAGGTTCTTCACCTTAGCGACAAAGGGAAGAACAACTTAATTTTAGTCCAACTTAATATGTTTAGTCCGATCCAAATTTTTAGCAGTCTCTTTCGGTAAATGCTCAGTCACTATGGATCTAATTCTCTATCTTCAAGAGTTCTGACTTTCCCTCTAAGATGGTTTCTGGAAATATGGGATATGTATAGGAAAAACATTCAAAATACTAACATTTAACAACCAGGATCAGTTAGAAGAGACTTCGACCATAAGTAATCAGTATGGCCAGACTAGTGTATAGCAGATGAGTATCAGTCAGAGGTAGGAGTGTAGCTTATATGATCGCATCAGGGAAGGAGGAGTCCCCAGATGGGAAACCCTCCTCGATCTCCATGGCAGAGTGGCAGAGTGGCTCCTCTAAATTGTTCCTGACTATATTCAGATTTCTGGCTCCCACCGTCAGAGCACATGATCCCGGTCATTTGTCTCCAAATTTGATGTCTTCAAACACTGCAGCCTTTTGGCTATGTTA